GCTGGCACCGCGCGCCCCTCGGACGCGGGCGGTGCCACCCCCGCCGGGTCCCATTCTCCGCGCCGGGAGGGAGGCGCGGCCCCTTCTGGGTCTGTGTCTAGAAGGAATAAAAGCAAACATTGCAAAGCGCGTGGCCTGAGTGAGGGGCGGACCTGGGAAGTGGGGGTCGGGATCCGCCTGGCTGGGCACCGTCCAGCGCGCCACCTGGGCCGGAGCCACCGGAGCGCCCTCGAGTTACAAGGAGAGACGACCCAAAGCATTGGGTCATAGGAGCTCGAGGCGGCGCTCCACGCACTCGGCTGCTGGTGCTGGGAGTGAGCAGCTCAGCCGGTGGGTTGAGTGGCGCCTGACGCTTCAAGGCTTCCCCTTGCTTCTAGAATCAATTCCAGATTCCTTCCCCGCCTTCCCACAGCCGCCTCTCCCCTTGAGAGGCTCCAGCCTCCCTGGGCAAATGACCTCCTTCTTGCTATGGAGCTAAGGTGCCTTTTAAGCCCTTGGGCCTTTGCACATTCTGTTCCCCCCTCCTTGGAATGCCGTTCTTCCTTTTGAAGTCTGGCAAATCCTTCTACCCGGCTCAGATGCCATCTCCAAGTTACCAAGACCCAGATCAGGTACCAGCATCTCCTCCCTGATCCTTGCCCTGACTGGCTGCCCTCTGGCACCCACAGCCCTTTTATACACAACTCGGTTATAGCAGGTGTTGGGTCAAAACTAATTAAGTGCAGTGGCAGTTGAGCTTTAGTCAGACTGAGAGTGAATCCTCAGTGCTGGTGACAAACTGCTCTCTGCTTCCTTTCCTAATCTGTAAAATGTGGACAATGATCGTACTTACCTCACAGGGTTGTGAAAACGAGTTAATGTGTGCAAAGTGCTTAGAACAGAACCTGGCACGGAGTGAGCATATAATAAATGCTATTAGTCATATCATTATCATCTTGAAACACTGAAGTCTGTTATTCATCGCTGCAGCCCTCCCTCTCCAGCTGCATGTGCTCTTCTCCCCTTTCTGTCTCACTCACATTTCCCAGATTGTACTTCCAGCCAGGAACAGTGCTGTGCCGGCATCGCCTCAACTATCCACACAACCCCAGAGGCAGATGCTCTTTTTCCCATTTTACAGTTGAGGAAATAGGGCAGAGTGGGGTGAGGTACCCAGCCATATAGATAACAACCTAGATGATATCGCTGTGTGGTGGAAACAGGATCAGGGCTCTTAACTGTGGTCCCACCTATCTGTTGATGGTTCTACCTGGGCGTCCTGAGAACTTCAAACCGGTCCTGCCCTAAACAGATCCTGCCCCATCTTGCTCTCCCGCGTCCCCTATCTCAGGGATGCGACCCAAGTCACGACTTCTGGAGCTTGTTTTGTACCTTGAATTTCCTTACTATGCCTTCTCCTTTGTCTCCTTACCACTTCACTCCTCCTCTCCAAGTCCACTCAGTGTCATAACTCACGCCATCACCACAGCTTACCAAGGTGCTGAGAACCTCCTCCCAGCCATCCACTCCCTAGACAAGGTGGCATCCAGAATGTTTTTTTGAAAACTGAATCTGATCATGTCACTGTCCTGCTCAAGACTTCATTAACTGCCGGTTACCTTCCTCACTGCCCAATCCCCTTGTCCCTGGAGCCTTCCTTGACCCTCCTAGTCTTCACTAGGTGCCCCACCTCTGAGCTTTCCTAGCAACATGTGAGCCTAGCACCCAAAATTTATTGAGTGCTTACTACGTGCCAGGACTCTTCTAAGGTCCTTCATCTATGAGGTCACTACCAATATTTCCATTTCACAGAGAAGTTAAATCTAAGTGCCCAAGTGTATACATGGGGGTAGAGGAGGGATTCTAACAGTCATTCTGCCTACCTGGTCTGATCTCTTAACCACCACTCTGTACAGCCCTTATTCTACTCTGTTAACATGCTTGTTTACTCCCTAAACTTCATCCTCCTTGAGGACAGGACTGTGGCCTTTTCCCTTTCTCCCCAGCCCCAAATGCACGGTCATTACCTTGCAGATAGTCAGCAATTGCATGGAGTGAATGGAAATAATAATAATCACACCCTCTAACACTTACTGCACTAGTTTCAGAAACCTAGATCGAACTGACTTAAACCAAAAAAGCTTTGTTGGTTCATGACACTGGGAAGCCAAGGAATGAACTAGAGGCCACGGGCTCAAATAGCCATTTCTCAGCTATTTGTCTCTGCTTGGCTTTCTTCCATCTGCAGCTGTTTCTCCACAGCAGCCCAGACTGCCTCTCTCCTCTTTGAGCAACCTAGCAGTAAAATCATTTTACTTTCTCCCAGGGGTTAATTCCAGGGAACACTCTGTATTGGTTGTGAAATACGGTGTAGGTTGAGTCCAAGGTAGGCCATGTGACCATCTGGGGAACCAAACACCATGATCACAGACCACATGGAGAGGCTTCCTAAGGCAGGCAAAGGTACATCCACCCTGGCCAGCATTTATCAGAACCAACTTAGTGTCAGGTTCTAAGCTCTGCGTGTCTCAGACATCTTCCAGCTAGGTGAGTTTTGGTTTGAGAGAGGGTCAGAATCAAACGGAGAGCTTGTTGGGACCCAGAATTTACATTTCTAACAGGTTCCAGATGACAAGTGGAAGGACAACTGCACGAGAACACTGCTCTATACCTTTAACTAGAGTGCAGCAGTAAAGATCAACAGGAAGCTGATGAGAAATGCAGGACCTCAGGCCCCACCCAGACCAACAGAATCAAAATTTGTTTATTTATAAGATCCCAGGCAGATTTACACGCATAGATTGAGCAACACTGGTCTAAGCCCCAAGGAGAGAGCCAACAGCACGCACTGAGATGACGAAACCGACTAGAGGTCATCGATTCCGATCCGAGACCTCACAACTCCAATTCTTTCCACATGTGGCTGCTGGTTGGTGGCAGGGGTGGGGGACATACAGGGCAGGAAAGGTCTAGACTGGCTGGAGTAAGAGTAAGGGGTGGGGGAGAACCTTCCTGATGGCCTCCCTGCCATCTCTGCCCCCTCCCCCAAGGCGTGCACAACCAGCTGCAGGCAGAGCTGACCAGGCTGGGTGAGGTCAAGACCCAGGCCTTGTTGGAGATATGTTTGTTACCTCAGGAGCTTCCTGCAGGACCTGGGCCAGACCCCTCACCTCAGCCGGCCTGGGCTCGGCTGGTCGGCACAGGGGTTTCCCCTCAGGGGCCTAAAGGGCTGTAGCAGGCCAGTGGAAAGAGCCCAAGGGGCTGGGGGCCGTTCACCCTTGGAGTGTGGAGCCATCTAAGGGGAACCTGGGGCCAGAGGGGAGTTGAGAACTCAATCCCTGATGGCTTTCCCTGGCTGTCTCCCCAGACCCTGGCCCTGCTGTAGGGTCACCTGAATGTCCTCTTTCCACTGGTCCCCCCCTACCCCGCCCAATTCCTTCCAACACATGCATGCGTGCCCACACACACACACACACACACACACTTTCTACAGCTCTGGCTGTTTCAGCCTAAGGTCTGGTTCAGCCTGTAACACAGCTGGGACAGCAACTATTATTTGCTAACTTTCCTGGTGCACTACTCCATATAAATTGGCGTTTTGTGACACCTATTTTATAGACTAGGAGACAAATGCAGAGTCATAAAATGACTAAGGTCACAAGGGAACAAATTCTGTCACCCCACTGCTCAGCCTATAGCCTATCAGCTGCTTCTATTCCCTGGAGAGAGGAGCAGGGCAAGAACCCAGATCCTAAACCTGTCAACCTGACCTCTGCCGATCCTGAACACTTTGAAAGCTACAAGACAGCAACTTGTTAAAAAAACCCCAAAATGTATTTATTTAATATATTCATCACAAGGGCTTAACCAGACACTTAATTTAAAAAACAGAAACAAAACAAAAATGACACCACAGGTAAGATACAGAGTCTTATACAGAAATCAAGGAAAGGACAGTCCATCTAAGGGAAAAAATGAGACGACGACACAAGGAGAGAGCTGGACAGCCTGGGTCAGGGCTCTTGGCTGGAGACCTGCTTTGAGTAGGTTTCTTGCAGGTACTTCTTAAAGGCTGGAAGAGAACAGGCAGGCTGGTGAGCAAGGGGACAGGGGTTAAGATTGGCAAGAGGGCTGCAAGGATACAAACAGTGGGAAGAGTTTTGGGGGGTTGGGGAGGGGTTTCCCAGCACAAGGGATTCTCCCTCTGCCGGGATGGGCTCTGCTTCCTTACTAGCAAGCAAGTGAGCAAGTCATTTGCACAAAGTTTTGCCTTCTACTTAAAAAGGCCTCCAACTGACATTCATGTGGAAAGAGTTAATTTTCTGATTTTATAGCAAATAGGCAAACCAGAAACACCAAGGAAGAGGTGGAACTGGGTTACTTGGGTGAACTCCCCCAACCCTGCTGTCAGCAGGACAGATTTCCAAGTCACTGGAATCCTTTTGTTGTTTGAGGGAGCCTCTGAAGATTGGGGAGGGATGGCCTGGTGCCCTGAGGGTAAAGGACCCACCTGTGGGGTTTTTCCAGAGCTCGGCTGCATGTGTGTTCAAAGGGCTATCGATGTTGGGTTCTGCGGGTGGAGAGAAAGAGAATGGTCAGGTGAGGGGAGAGGAAGCTGGCCTGAGGGAGCCCTGACAGGTCCCCAGGTTGCAGGGGAAGGGGCTGGTCTCAGCAGTCACCTCCGAGCAGGCTCTGGATGGAGAGCAGGATGGTCCTGACGTCGTACAAGGCGGACCACTTGTCCTTCAGAATGTCCAGGCAGATGTTACCCTGCGTGTCCACGTTGGGGTGGTAGCAGGGCGTGAGGAACTTCACTGTGGGTGCGTTGTAAGGGTAGCCACTGGGGAACTCCAGGGACAGCTTATACCTCAGGTCTTCGTATACCTTGAGAAGCAGATCGGGAGTAAGCCTCCCAACTCCCACCTGAGTTCTCAGTCCAAGCCCCAAGTAAGGGGCTTGCCGGGACTCCTGAGTTTGTCTGGGACTTGACAGAAGACAGAGCATTAAACTGGTCTGGTGCTTTCTCTCCTTTCTGGCGGGGACATCAGTGATCCTTTGGTCTAAGGCCCACAGGCCTAAGTCCTTGACTATCCTTCATTCTCTTCCTTGCTATCTGACCCCCTGTAGCCATCTTAAGATGGAGAGCCCTGCCTTAAACCCACCCTCTCACTCTGCAGAGGGAGATCAGGGCTACAGGCTCAGGGCACAGACATGGGGCAAAGACTTGGAAGCAGACCCAGCACTTGGGTGTCACCTCCCACCTCTTCCTAGACTTAGCCAAATCACACTTCCCGTCCCACCCACACTTACCGTGCCAGCTGCTCCATGGATGGTCCCCACCCACTTGAAAAGGTTGTCTGACTCGGGGAAGGCAGAAATCCCTTTGTCACCAGACATCTGGGGAGGAAACACAACACTGCTGGGCTGTGTTCTTGGGGGTCAGTGGGTTGAACACCCTCCTCTTAACCTCGTCACATTTTGACCCAAAATAAAGCCACCAGACCGAGTTGACAGGCTTTTCTGAGGGAGTGGCTAGATCCTAGCTGCTGAATATGCCCCTCTGGGGAATATTGGGATTAAGAGATCCATCGCCAGGCTAAGGAGGGAGGAGTGTGCAGGGACGCAGAGGGCAGCTCTGTACCCACAATTTTGCTGGTTGCTGGGAATTCAACAGGACATTTTTTTTACTCCCAATTTATCTCTCCCCCTATCCCCTAACATACTATTGAGTGCTGGTTATATACAAAAACCAGAGACTATTCACAGACCGGGAAGATAAACAATATGGGCATTGAAGGATGTGAGTTGAAATCCAGGGTTAAGGTATAAAGGGAAAAATTTATGTAAAAAGGGAACAGGATTAGAAATATTAAGAAGAGTGGAGTGTTGGGTGTGGATAAATCTCAGGGCAGGGAAGTAGGGCCAGGCAGGAAAGGAAGAAGGCCTTGAATGGCTTCTGGGAGCTGTATTTTATGGGTAACTTCATTGTGTGGGGATGGCACCTGGAGTAGACTGCTAGGAGAAAAGGTGTGTAGGTGGGGTGTATTAACTTCTTCCTAGCAGAGAGCAAACGGGACTCATCCTTTTACCTCCATGTCTATCAAAGACCCTGACAGAGGAAAGGAGGCTACTGATAAGTGACCAAGAGGTAGGAGGGCGGACCAGTTGGTTGGGGATCTGGGATTAGTCACTCACCATGAGGGTCATCAGCTCCTGCTGTAGCCTGCAAAAAGAGCATTCGGGGTCACCTGGGAGCCTAGATGGGCCAGGGCTCCTGGTGGTACACCTCCTCCCACCCCAATCTCTCTGGAGCAGCTGTCATGAGGCCTTCCCTTCACCCTAAGGTCGGACTTAGCTGGGGGCACGGTCACCCCCATTTCCACAGGAGAGTCCTAGTGAGTCCTCACTCTCCCCTAATTCCAGGTTCCCGTCCCGCAGGACAGCTCTGGCTTGTTCTTAACCCTCTCTTCTCTGGCGTTCTGTGCCGGATCTCAGCTTCTCTCCTCTCCCCCGCCACCGCCTTCCAGCCAAACCACTGAGGGTTCCCAGCGAATTCTCATCTTGGCTTACCCTCAGAGGATCCTGGCAGCGTCCCTACCAACCTTCTTCGGGGGGGGGGGTCCTCTAAGAGCAGACGAGCTCCTAGTGTGTCCCTCCACCTCCCATATCTTACCGCTCCAGGAGGAGGTGGGGGTCCCAGAAGTCTTCACTCTCTTCCTCAATGCCTAGGGCGTGCCAAGCTCGGAGAGTTTTACCTTCACACTACTCACCTCTTGCCCACGGGGCCCCGGGCGGCGCCCCCACTGGGCTCAGCTCCTTTACGGGCGGCGGCGACACTGGCAGCGGCTGGGTCACGGTTCTGGGAAGCCATCCGGACGGCGCTGGGAGAGAGACGGGAAACTCAGACTGTGACCACGGCTGCAACTGCGGGGCTGCGGGGACGCCCGCCCGCGTTTGAATTGTAACCCTCCTGCAGCGCTAGCCAGTCAGCGTCTCGCTTGGGTTTGATCCAGCCAATAGGACGAGCCAGAGCGCTCTGTCACCACGCATCTGCTAGACCCACCCACCAGTGCATCACTATTGGGCGGCGGGATCCTGCTTCTGAAGAATGATTGGCAAGAGACGCTGTCTTTAATTAACGGATCTGTAACGGATTGGTGGCCTTTGGAAAACGCCGACCATTAAAGGGTCCAGGAAAAGTCCACGTGGGATGAATCCCTTTAGGTCGAACTTCCGGCTAGGATGCCTACTCCCAAGGGAAGGGAAGGGTTCCAATCTTGTGGCCCTGTCACTCTTCCCTCAAACCAGAACCTGACCTCCCCAGCGTATTATTAATGTCCTGGACACTCTGGTTAGTGTCTGAAAATTCAGGCAATGGGAAAAACTAGGGGCTGATGGCCAGAGCAGGAGACTCCCTATTGGAAAACAGGTTGAAAGGCTGCGTCTCCAACGGTTTGCTGTGTTACCTGGGCACATATTTAGTGTTTTAACCTGCAAAATGGGGGTGATAAAAGTCACTCTACATTTTTATTCTGGTTTGTCATCAACCTCCCATGGTGCCAGCCATCACATTCTGCTACTTCCATACCTTAGTTGGGTGAGGAAATAAAAAACAGAGGGACTGGGAAAGCTGGCAAGGTACACGGTGTTCCCAGCTTCCTCACAAAACAGACATGCATGAGGCACTAGGCTTCCTGGGGCTAAGCAGGGATGGGGGAGGGGTGCCTCGTCATTTTTGCCTACACCCACTTCCTCCAGAGCCCTTGATGTTCTGTCAGCCCCCACAGGCAGACCGCACAGCAGGCTCACCATCTGTGTTTATTACAAACTGTTTAATTGCTTCTTATCCCAATAACTTTAAAAATATAGAACCACATGCCAGTCTGGGGGTGCTCTGCAGTGAGTCACTACAAACTAGCCCAGGCATAGCTTAATGCCGCTGAAATCCAATGGAGCAGTCCCAGCATTGACCTCAGCCATGTGGGTAAGAGGGACTTGGAGGAGGGCTGCCAAGAGTAGCTGGGGATGTGGGTTCAGGTCTGCGGAGGTGCTTCAACAGTGCGATGCTCATTTTCTGTCCGTAGTGTCTCCATGTACTTTCGCATCTTCTCAACCATCCAGGAGGGTAGGACAAAGGATTTCAGTTCATCTAACTTCAAGTCCAGGCATCCTCTGGAACAGACAGTGAGGAGGAGAGTTGGAGCAAGGGAGGATGCAGGTCCAGGTTCATCCCAGGGGCTACTGTGGGGCAGGGGGAGGGTAACGGACAGATCACTGGTTTTACCTATAGTCATCACTGGCAGCAAGGTCCCGGATGTCCTCCTCAATGAGAAGGTAAGCCTGGGCAGGAGCAAAGGAGAGTCATCATTGCTTGATTCATTTCAGTCCAATTCAACACTTTATCAAACATTTGCTTAATGTAAGGGCTGGAAGTGAGGGGGTGTAGTCATAGTTTATAATTTAGCAAGGGAGAGTAAGTAGGGGGAGACTGGGGAATAGTTCCCTGAGACAATCTTCCACTCAAGTAGAAATTTTATGGGTGGGAGAATGGGGAGTGGTGACTAATTTATTTATAGCCACTGCCTCTGTTGAAAAAGGACCCTGAGGTGGCTTAAAATGAAAGGGCCAGAGAACTAGCAAAATATACATGGAAACAGGAAATCAGGAGGAAACCATATGTGAACTCTCGAACTACTTTGGTTTTGAACTTTGTGGCAAAAGGGAAAACATGATAAATTGCACTGCTGTCTAGTAACTGGGCTGTGTTGTCCTGGGACCCACAGAACTGCTCTAGCACAATACCATGGTTTGCAGTGGGAGAACCCTCTTGTGACCTTACCATAGGGGGAGTGTGGTTCATCACAGGAGAGTCTTCTGTGTGAGAGACTTCTTTCCAGTGTTAGGGTCAGGAATCACTGTGTGTCCCTCGAGTCATCTGACTCTTCATCTTAGGGGCACTGTGAACTATGTAGCTGATTAGGTATTCCTGAGTAGGCCCTGGAGCTGAATTTGTGAAAACCTATAGGAGTGCATAGGTCTCCCAGGTCGGGAATTTAAAATAAAACTCGTTTTAAAACAAGTCTTGCTTGTGGCTTAATTTTAGATCCTGCTTTTCCTTTTTTCCCTGTTTCTTATTTATGTTATGTGTCAATGGTAAACTCCCTGAAATCTTTTTTGAAAGAGTATAGCATAGAGTAGAAAATACAATAAAAGCAGGGAGGGGTAGCTCAGCGGTGGAGTGCATGCCTAGCATGCACAAGGTCCTGGGCTTGCCATTGAAAAATAAATAAATAAATAAGCAAACCTAATTACCTCCCCCCAACAACAACAAGAAAAGATGGCTTTCATTGCCAGAAAGGAGATGGCACTCTGGCTTGCAAGGCCATGAATTCTAATAGGAGCAGTCCCAGTGGAGAGACTAAGTGAGTCTTCAGGTGGGGGACACTGCATGTGATGGACAAAGCCCTCCATGATAGTCCTGGAACACAGGCAACCATGATTTTCCTAAGGTTGTTGCTTGATATGGGCTGAGAACTCTTTAAGCAGAGATAGGTGATTCTGGAAGGAGCTGCCAAGTGTGGAAAATAAGTTCCATCACATGTGCTAACTCCTTCCGAAAAGGGGTGCTGCCTGAAGTGCTGTGCTGACAAGGGTTCCACAGCTGCGTCTGGGGAAGAGTGCTGTGATCCATGAGTGGAATCTGCCAGTGGGCAGCAAAGTGAGGGAAAAGTAGTGCTGTGTCTTGTACCTGCTATCCTTGTATACAGATAATATAGTATGACTATGAGGGGGTGAAGTGGGAGGGTGAGGGGCAGTGTGCGGGAGACTGAGGGGCAGGGAAGGGAAGCGGGGATTACAGTCTGGTCTTCAGCATGAAGGAAGGGATGGGTCCTCTCTACCGTTACAATGCTCTCTTTCCATATTCGTTGGGCCTGGAGAGTCTCTCATATTTGGAGGTAAGCTGTCACCAGTAGCCCAAACCCTGGTCCCTGGGCTGGGTGGCTCTGTGGCAGTGGCATGTGAGAACAATGCTTACCATCTTCCCCCCTGTTGCCCGCATGTGATGCTGCTCGGCCAGCCAGTGCTTGTCCTGGGGGTCAGCTGCATACTGTGAGGAAGTCATGGGGGAGACATTAGCCTGGTGTGATGGGCTTCTCGCACTTGATCCCAGAGCATACTCTCAGCCCTTGAGCAGTTCCTGCCAACAGGATCTCGTCTAGCCTGCTGGATGCAGAGTGCTCACCAGCCTCTGCAGAGCAAGTGGAGCTGAGCCCAGGCAGCCAGGGCATGGGACCCAGTTTCCAGACATGAGTATATTTCTAATTCCTGCCTCTTTCCCTTCTGAAAACACAGCATCTCTGGCAAACTGGTGAGCACTGGTGACTATTATTTTAGAGCTCCACTCCTCTTTGCAGAAACGAAGTAACTTACAACACATGTGACTACTATGGAGACCGTATTTTCTAAAACAAAAATCATACTTCATGCTCTGGGGGAGGCAGAACTTAGTTTTTGGGTTCAGAGCTCAGTCTACATGGAACGTGCATGGCGGGCAAGGGTTGTAGGCAGGTCGCATACTCCGCATGCGCGGGCAGCCAATCCAGCCTGGTGGGCTTCTAGAGGGTGGTGTGTAAAAAAAAAAGAAAAGAAAAGAAAAAAACTTGGTTCAGAAATTCTGGTTTCTGCTACTTATTGAATGGCGTAAATCTGGGCAATAATTTCCTCGAGATACAGTTTCCTTATTTGTAAAACAGAGAGTATTAACACTTAGAGGGTTGTTGTCAAGAGTAAACAAGACAGTGCATAGAAGGTGGTAAATAAAGTAACTGACACGTAACTTACTCAGTAAAGGTAGGTTTTACAAAATAAGCAGAACATCTGAAATGGAGACCAAACTGGGAAATCTATATAGTTACTACCTTTTGAGTTCAATTATTTCACTTCCCACGTAATATAAATATTAATGAAAAAATTTTTAAGTATGTACTTTCTGACTCAGGAATCCCATTTACAGAGATTTATCCTTCAGAATCACCCATACGTGTACACAAGGATGTTTGGTGTAGCATTCTTTCCAAAAGCAAAATTGTTGGAAAAACCTTAAAATGTCCATAAACAGGGGAGCAATGTAATAAATGATAAAGTATCTATTCTATGAATTCTACACAGCTGTTAGAAGTAAAATGAGGGAGACTTAATAACATGGACAAATCTCTAAGATATTATCCACTAGATTTACAGTGGTCAGCACACTTTCTGTAAAGGGCCAGTTAGTAAATATTTTAGGCTTTGCTGGCTGGCCATAACATCTTTGTCACATATCCTTCATTTAAAAAAAAAACAACCCTTTAAAAATGAAAAAACCCTGAGTTGGACAAAAACAGGCAACAGGGTGGATCTGGCCCACAGCCCATAGCTTGTGCATTACAATGTAAGCTCTGTGAGGGCAAGGAGTTGTATGTGTCTGTTTCGTTCATTGCTGTATCTCTGGCACTTTGAGAATGCTTGGTACTCGATAAATATTTATTCAATCAATGAATGAATCTTGGGGGTGAAAAAAAAGTCAGAAAATCAGAGAAATACATATATCATATGAGCCCAATAACATGAACAAAATATCACTAAAGGACCAAGAAACACACATACGCACACGTAGGGAGGGGTCTGAAGGATGCTACCATGTTGTGGGGGAGAGGGGAAGTGATCTCTAAGAGCGGAGAGTCAGAGTCAAGAGTGAAAGGAAACTTTGTGTTTTGCTATTAGCTTCTGTGTATTGTCTGACTCTTTTTATAACAAGAATGGATTTGTATGTTATTTCTATAACTTAAAAAAATTAAAAAGGAAAATAAAAAATTGAATAATGCCTTTAGAAGGATAGAAAAATGGGCAGAAGTTATAATAGGCAATTTACAGAAGGAATACAAATATTGATTTTAAATGGATGAAAAGATGCTTATCTTCACTAATAGAGAATTAAAAATAAAACAGTAAAAAACATTTTCCCCCACTTAGTAGACTGGAAAGATTAAAATGAGAGGTAGCGTCCCCTGCTAGTGAGAGTGTGGGCTGGGAGTGTATTACAAACGATGGGTCTAAGACCTGGGGACGTATGCTGCTAATAATGATGGCCGCTTGCTGAGCCCTTGCTATGCCAGGCGCTGTGCGCGGTGCTTTACTGCCCTGTCTTAATTCTGCTAACCCTAAAGGTTGGTTTACATCATTCTCCCTTTATAGATGACAAGACAGGCTCAGAAATGTGCAGCCACTTGCCCACTATCACACAGCTAGTACCAGGACTGAAAGG